CCGAGCATCATGTCACATTTATCAACGAGGCGCATGTTCATGTTATAGTCTATGACATAGTCCGGTTTATACATGGGGAAGCGCGTCTGAAAGTGGACTTTGCCATTGTCTAACATGGCACCGGTGTGAATCATAGTCAGCATATTCACCTCGTAATGCCGAATACTGGTATTTCCTTCCTGTGAAATTGAAATTGAAATAAGTTTATTGAGGTAAAATACACACAAAGGGATGAGGTAGCTCAAGCTATTCTCACCCCATTCAGTACAACGTGTTAATATATACATAGACACACATCACAAATAAACACATTACCAAACATTCTGAGAGGTAAACATATACATTTCCTCCTTCACAAGTAGTATGGTATCAGACGTACACACAAATACTTTTATGACCTAGGTATACTGTATAGACAATTTGCAAGACACCTGCAGATAATTCAACAAAATATTACAATCTTGGTGCAAAATTCTTATATCTCTCAAGAATATCATCAACCTTTCCGTTGTGACACATCCAGGCTATTTGTTCAGGAACAGTCCTTATCTCAGTGTTTCTATATACATTAATCAACGGACAATCAAGAACATAATGGGCCAGGGTGTGAGACCTTAACATACCACATAGTTTCCTTCCTGTGGGCCTTTACAGTGCCACATACGCTGGTGTTGTGGGCAAGGAGGTATCTGGTCAACAAGGGGCTCTTGTAATAGTTGTCAGTGAACAGTATATGCCCTTGTTCAGCAGTAGTTCCATCAGGGTTTTTACAACACTGCCGGAGAACCTGTGTGGGTCTTGAGCTGGTATGTCGACATCTGTACCAGAATACAAAATCATGTCCATGACGATACCAGTCTCACAGTCACACAGCACGAAAACTTCAGTCCACAACGGTGGCGCTTTGATGGGATGTACTGCTTGAATGCCAGTCGCCCCTTGAACAGTACTAGTAATTCGTTGCTTACCACATTCTGTGAAGGTACAAAATAATCCCTGAACTTCCCTCTCATGTCACTGAACACCTTCCGTACCTTTCACAGTCTGTTGTTTCTGTTTTTCTGTCCTCATTTGCATTATTATGGAAATGCAGGCACCTGAGAATCAAAAGGAACCTATTACACGACATACATCGGTTGAACACAGGCGATGGAACAAGGCTGTCTTTGCTCCAATAATCCTAGACGACAGCTTTCTCGGAGTGCTTCATCATCATGTTGAGTGCGAGAAACATGTACATTTCGTCAATTGTCGTGTCTTTCCATCGCATAAGGTGTGAGGCAGATAAAATGCAGGCATCTATGAGACTGTGAGCGTACCTGTTTGTCTCAGTCACAAGATGGGTCATGAATTCGTTGTCGAAATACGTCTGGAAATATTCCATTTCTGCCATATCATCAGTATACGAGAATAATGGTGTAACACCAACATCGGTAGCATCAAACGTTGGTATTTGTGGGACAAATGTGGCACAATTCTGCCACACAAGTGCACCTGGGGGTTTGGTGTTGGCGCCAACACCACGGCCAACACCACCATGAGCACCAAAAACACGGCTACGTCCTCTGGTGCTGGAGCTTCATGAGGATATGCTAGGCGATGAGGCAGCTTTATGTAACGTAGGCCTACCACGAACACCTGATGTTGAGGGGCCACTGTCGTCATTGTCCTGTTGCTGTGAGACACGCTGCCGCCTGCCGCGATGTGTTGCTGAGGCAGCAATACCCCGCCTGGTAACACCCTAGCTGATCGTACTCGGGTTGTCCACACTACTTGTATCGGAGCCTGGAGCCTATGTCACTAAAGCCCGAGAAAGATTCATCGTATGTACTGTCACTGAATAAACTTGCGTCTGGGGACATACATGGTGGTGGTGATGATAGTGGTGTTGTCCCAGGGCAGCGAGGCAGGCTGGGTGAGGCACGTGTACCATACACACTCGCCACATCATCCACCTCAGTCTCTCCCTCACTCGTATCAGACCTCTGTGTAAGGTCTTTCTCTGGATCATAGAAAAAGTCATCATCCATAGCACTGTCATCATACAAAATGTTGCATATCTCCTCCTCAGAGAGTCGTTTTCCATGACCGTGGGTCACCGTGGAGCGGGAGCTCATAGACGATGTGTCAGACATGGTTGCTGCTTTGAAACTGAGGCTCCCTGTCACGTGTTCGTCTCATAAGGCTCGAGAATAGCACAGTGCCCCATTAATTCCCCCCTCCCCCTCCATACATGGGGCATAGAACGAGGATAAGGAAAGTGGAACCGTTTAATTCCCCAGTATATTTACAAAGCCGGACACACAATTAAAATACTTAAACAGACAAGTTAGTACACCACGTGGCTCGCTCTGAAGGAACAGAGACACGGGTAAGAATTAATTAAGAATTAAACCAATACGAGTTCCACACACTGGAACGGTCAATTAAATAGGCTTACACACACACACACTAAAATAAAGCACTTGAAACTTATCCTACTTACACAAAACAAAACACTATACTTAAACCTAGTAGCCACATGGCTTCCACAGAACTTCAATGCACCATCCTCGACCTAGCACCGCACCCAAATGAGAGGGAAGCATGAGTGGTCTATCCTTATATGGGCAAGGTACCACGTTCGAGCATGCAATGCGTTCGGACGTGGTCTAATTAATAATTAATCTACTAGTCCATCTTCTGAATCATTTGCCTAGAACTGTTAAACAGATCAAAGCTTGTAATTTTAGTAACAATCATTTAACACAATGGAGCTATTAACAATAGCCTATTTGCATATATAATTTAACACATAGGACATTACACAGAAACTATGGTGGCCTGGGTCACTCTAGGTTGCCAGATGCATGATAAAGCATCAGTCATATTCTCTATGTTAGAAACTACAAACCAACTCTCACAATGATTTGCAAGATGAATTCCTAATTACATACAATGGTTTTCTTCACTGAAATTAATAGGTACATCATAAGCATTACAATTAACCTAAAGGGTAACAGCATGGCTGCAGCTGCCATGCTAGAAGCTAATCTCTCTACAGTATTTGTATTAAATCCCATTATTCAAACTTACACTGGGAAGCTCAACATAGTTGCCTTAATCTGCCATTAAGTATTTACTAATCCATCTGGATTCCTGGTAATATCTCTCAGGTTCCAGTAATTCACTATTACTTCTAATACAATTCCCTGAAGTAGCATCTCATTTGTAAGGTTGGTACTCGCTTATCCTTAGCCTCCAGGTCACGCATTCCACATAAGAGATTGTTCTGGAAACTGGAACACATTGGAGGGATGACAGGTAAGCTGCAAACATGGATGAAAAATTTTCTGACATAGAAAAATGAGGACAGTAATAAGAGGAAGTGTATCGGACTGGAGAAATGTCACAAGTGGAGTACCATAGGGTTCGGTTCTTGCACCAGTAATGTTCATTGTCTACATAAACGATCTACCAGCTGGAATACAGAATTATATGAACATGTTTGCTGATGATGCTAAGTTAATAAAGAAAATAAGTAACTTAGATGATTGTCATACCCTTCAACAAGACCTGGACAGAAAAAGTATATGGAGCACCATTTGGGAAATGGAATTTATGTAAATAAATGCCATGTTATGGAATGTGGAATAGGAGAACATAGACCCCACACAACCTATAAATTATGTGAGAAATCTTTAAAGAAGTCTGATAAAGAAAGAGATCTAGGGGTAGTTCTAGATAAAAAACTATCACCTGAGGATCACATTAAGAACATTTATGCGAGGGGCCTATGTTTCACTTTCTAACTTCAGAATTGCTTTTAAGTACATGGATGGCAAAATATTAAAAAAATTGTTCACGAATTTTATTAGACCAAAGCTGGAATATGCAGCGGTTGTATGGTGCCCATATGTAAAGAAGCACATCAACAAACTGCAAAGACATGCCACTAAGTGGCTCCCAAAACTGAAGGACAAGAGCTTTGAGGAGAGGCTAGAGGCATTAAATATGCCAAAACTAGAAGACAAAGGAAAAGAGGTGATATGATCACTACGTACAAGATAATAACGGGAATTTATAAAATCAATAGGGAAGATTACCTGAGACCTGGAACTTCAAGAATAAGAGGTCATAGATTTAAACTAATTAAACACAGCTGCCAAAGAAATATAAGAAAATTCACTTTCGCAAACAGAGTGGTAGACGGTTGGAACAGGTTAGGTGAGAAGGTGGTGGAGGCCAAGACCGTCAGTAGTTTCAAAACGTTATAAACAAAGAATGCTGGGAAGACGGAACACCACGAGCATTGCTCTCATCCTGTAACTACACTTAGGTAATTACACTTGGGTAATTATGTGATTTTGGAGCATTCTGTATCTGCCATCGACCAGGACTGGCACCCAGAAAGATAAGCGGCCCAAAGCAAACCCTTATTCTGGTTAAAAATGACGAAAATAGACAAACAAGTGGACAGAACTCCCCAAATGGAAATGAGCAAGCGAGCATAACGTCATGTCACACATGATGTTTCCTCCTCCCGGGGAAGGAAGGGGGAGCTGTGCAGACGTGCGGTGCGGTTCGTGTGACGTCATGCTCATTTGCTTGTTTTTATTTGGGGAGTTCTGTTCACTCGTTTGTCTATTTTCATCGTTTTTAACCAGGATAGGGGTTTGTTTTGGGGCGCTTACCTTTCTGGGTGCCTGTCCCAGTCGATGGCAGATATAGAATGCTCCCAAATCACATGTGCATTTCTATAGGTCATTGCTCCTCGTGCCTCTGAGGGGTGCCAGGTTCTGGCTCGTGGTCCCTGGTAGGCCTAGAACTCCACCCACATTGACTGATGCCAAAGTTAGGGATATCCATATCAGCCTGGATAGCACCAGGCAGCCGTAGGGGCTCTCCCCAGAAAAACAAATTTAGTACAGTATATCTTTATTAACCAGATATGACAGTCATATATGAAGCTTTCTTTTATGTTATTTACTGATTCACAAGCCATTCCAATCTGTTTTCAGGGTTTCCAGGTTTTGAGTGATGTACATGATGGAATGGGTGGAGTTTCCTTTGGTATTCTGCAACACTTAGCAGATGAATATGGTTCTAAAGACTCCATAACATTTGCCACCACTCCCTCCCATCTCTCTTCCCTCACACCTCAAGCCAGAATACTGATGAAGGCATCAATTATACAGGTAATGCGGTTGTAGTATAATTATGTTATGCATACATGTACTGTATCCACTCGCTAATCCAGACTGTATGGGAAGGACCCCCAGCCGGATTATCACTTTTCCGGATTAACGTACTTTTTCACCTCTTGAGTCCAAAAGGGAACATTTCCAACAATTTTTATACCACAATCATGATGTGGGTGGTTAGCTGCCTAGCTGATAGGTGGGCAGGGAAAGTGGGTGGACAGGAAGGTGGTGGAGGCCAAACACCCGCTAGTCCGGCTCCCATGTACATTTTGGCCGGATATGGAGATAACTTTATTCGGCCACCATTTTAGCCAGATTAGGGCATTTTCCGGATAGTCAGATTCCAGATTAGCGAGTGTTTACAGTACTGTGTAAAATCTCACCCTTGTTAAAGTATTAAAAAACTGATAAAAGGCAGTTAGCTTTAAAAGATTATAGCCTATATCATTAAAATGGATCATGTACATTGAGTGGGGAAAATCAACAAAGTCTTCAGGTAATATGAACATAACTCGAATATTCAAATTGTTTAAAAATATTTTCTATTCAGACAATAACTTATGAATTATAATAATTTGTATAAAACCAGCATTGAATGTAATAATACGCCAGTTTCTGGGTGCGCCCCCTAGGCTCCTTGAAGCTATCCTACTGTTATAGTGCTATATTAGTTGGGGTCATCAGTCGCAGAGTTTGTCTTACTTACTGGGAACCAGAGCTAGAACCTGGCCCCCCCAGAGAGGCACAGAGAGCATTGGCCTATGAGTCATTTACATTTAAAGTATGTCATACTTGACATTGACCAGGAAAGACACCCAGAAAGATAGGTGAATAAAAACAGACCACTGTCTGATTGAAAATTGCAAGCTTTGTCCTCAAAACTAGCAAAAGAACTCCCCCAGAAAGAAAACAAACAAGCAGCACTTCATCCAATTCATCCCCCATGGGTTGAGGGGGAGCTGACCTGGGTGAGCTGGCAACCCACCAGTTTAGTTCTTGAATGATGAAAGCCAATGACTGAAGAGACGGAAGGTGTCAGGGAGCCTCCGGGGCTCACCCAGAAACTGGCATTTCATAACATTCAATTCTGGTTTTCTGTGGAGAGTCCCATTGGCTCCCTGAAACTAACTACTCACAGAGAAGGCAAACAGGTACTTACCAGGAAGACGGCAGCACCACAGGGGTCAAAGGGAGGAGGAGACAGACGGTCACGACAGGTGCCCCAAGGTCACTCAAGGCTGCAGAGGAACAGGGATATTCATGAACAACCTGGCAGCCAGGACTCTGTTCGACCTCCAGAACCCCCCTTTGCCCGAATATTTTCACAAGACATATTACCAAAAACAGCTGAAAGAGTGGCATATTTCCTAACATCATGGTGTGAGGGTGACCACAGGCTGGCTAGACTTAATGACAAACTGAGAAACACAAGCCCTGGAACAGGGAACCAAGGAAAACTGGATTAACCCATTGGGCATCCACCGACACAGAACCATTGGCTTGCAGTCTGGATCATCGCCAGAAAAGAAGGGGACGGCTGCAGACGAACAAAACGACTGGCATGACTGAAAGAACAGAATCCCTGCACCGGAGGAGAGCATGAAGCTCCCCAACCCGACCCCCAGAGGCTAATGCTAACAGGAAAGAACCTCAAAGAAACAAACCGGAACTGAAGGGGTCACAACAAACCGAGGAGAAGAAAGAAAAGAGAGCACTCTGTCCAATGACCAGGACAGCTCAGGCAGCGCATGAGCAGGCCAGAGGTGAAACAACACTCGGGACAGCTTGTGAAAACGGCGCAGAAGAAAACATGAACATGAAGAAAAAACATGAGCAAGCTGAAGAGGCTCCGCCAGCGCCGCATGATACGAGGCAACAGTATGCTGCAAAATGACGGCCCTGAACCCCCACAAGAGAAGGACAAGAACCACGCCCACAAAACACAGCCACCTAAGAAGGGACAGAAGGAAAAAGGAAGAAGGATCACCAAAAAAACCCACACTGCAGCCAATAAGAAGTATGCAGGTGGGACACCATCAACGAAGCCATCTGATCACCAACAGAAGGTGAGACTCGAGGCAGAGCCGAACCAGCCCCGCCATAGATCAAACGAGCTGAGGAAGAGGCAGAGCTGCGGGAAGATCCCGGCTGCGACCGAGCAAGCAGAGCCGGAAACCCGAGCCGGCAAAGGAGGAGATGGAACGTCTGCTCGACAGAAAACTTCCCAACGCCAGCGAGCTCGCCATGAGACCGAAGACAATGGTCCCGACAGAGACACAGGGACACAGAAGGGACACAGATACTCTGAAAACACCGACAGGCAGGGAAACCAGGAATCGGAAATCCAAACCTGGAAATAGGAGAGCCAAAAGGCACAAACAAAACATACAATTTGTAGGATAAAAGGAAGCTGAGGAACGAGGAAGGAGGCAGCAAACAGGAATGGAAGGCACGCCAACAACACAGTTATTGGTCATGTTCCAACACAAGACCAAACGGAAAAAACGCAAGGTTCGCCACCAGACCAGCACCCAAACCGAGGGGTACGAGTGAAGACGAGAGACAACGGGAATGAAACCACACGTCACTGGGAGACAGAAGAACCAGAGAGGACAACACCACCACAAGCAAGACCCTCAAAGGAATGAGAGGGAAGAGAAAGACCAACCAATGAGCACAAGGGGCAGGGCCATGGGACACAGGTGGAACTGATGCCCAATGAGCAATAGAAATGACAAAAAAAAAAAAAAAAATTTAATGTCAGTAGGATACAAATGGAACACATGAGGAAGGGATGTGGTTGAGGCTAACCCCACACACAGCGTCAAGTGGAGACACGACAGAGCCCAATAGGCTCTGGAAGCCATACATTAGTCGAACGACAGGCGTGAGGAGAGACCAAAAACCTCGAGCTCAACCCCGCAAATACAACTAGGTGAGCACAATGAGGCAAGTACAGAGGCCATGTATATGGCAGGCGAGTGCCAGAGGGGCAGGACTAAATAGTCAGAGCTCAATCCCAGCAAGCACAACTAGGTGAAGACAACAAGGGGAGTACAAAGAATCCAACGTACCTGGAAGGGCTAAGCCAGGCACTGCAAGGCGGGCAAGGAATGAGTGACCCAGATAAGACAACTGTAACAAATATCACAAACAAGGAAGGCCCCAGGAGGAAGCATGCAAGGGCCAAACAAAATGCCACAACCAAAACCCCAACACACATCCTGAGTAACAAAACCGCATCAAAATGTCACCTCGTAACATCCTGACACAGTCACATGTACCTCATCACAATCACCACCACCATTGTACCTCGTAACCTGGTGGAGGTGGAGCCCGGGACTGACTCAAGCATGGGTTGGACATGCATACGAGTGGGACGGGATGGGGGTGCATACGGGATGGGGGTGCATACGGGATGGAGATGCATACGGGATGGGTATAATTAGGAGCTGCCTCATGTGGGCCAGTAGGCCCCCAGCAAGCACCTGTATTCTGATGTTCTCACATTCGTACCCCAAAACCAAGAACCAGCGCCTGGCCGAAAGAGACACCAGACCGCAGAAACTCACCTGCAGAACGTAGGCATGAACGTGTCACGACCCAATGTAGCCGAGAAGATGCCTGGAGCACCGCCAGGGGAAGAAGACCAAAGCCGCACAGGCAGGAGAAGAGCAGGGTAGAGGTGAAGTAGGCACCCCTCACCCATAACACAGAGAAAACCCCAGCATCCACCCATAGCTGCAAACCAGAACACCCCAGTAGCCACAGGGCACGGACTGGAGAACGGAGAAGAATGAGCGGCAAAACACCAGCACCGGTGCACACCGCCCATGACCAAAACAAACTCCCACGGAGCATGTGCAGGACACTGTGTCCAAACTGCACAACCCGCTCAGTGGGAAGGCGCCAACTAGGACTACTTTACAAGAAAAGTAGCCAAGCTGACTGTGACCCGAGTGATTTGCCCAGGAGAAGAAACAGCCCAGCTCATGTGAACAGGTGCTAAAAAGTAGTAAGCAGCGACATACATAGCCGTCTTATTCAATGAAGACAACAAACAAAATCGGCAACCCAATTGGGCTACAAGTAGCCCAATCAGGCATCCCGGACTAGGAGCATGTAAAGAAAAAAAGCAGTGCCAAGACAGAGCATGGAGAGAAGACACATTAACAATAGAACGAGACAGGACCGAGAACCCAGAACAAGCACGGAAGAGAACCAACAAGCCCTAGAAGGGACCGGAGGGAAGCCACACCGAAAGACGACAGACGTTCCAATAATATGGAGAGTAGCAAAAAACCTTCCCGAACCTTCGAGAACACACAGAAGCAAGCACAAGTCACAATGGCACAAAGGCACAGTCGCACCCGAGACCAAAAGTCATGCAGAACCCCCAAGAAGAGGGGAACATGACAGAGAAGTCCCGTCCCAAGAAAAAGGGCGAAATAATGGAGAAGAGCACCCACCGACAGGACAGAACCAACCGACTCAAGGGACAAGGAACTGAGCCCGGGGAGGGGCCGACGCCCAACAACTCATATGGAGAAGGGGGAGGAAAAAACCCCACTCCGCGTAACCGCAAGCCTCACCAAGATGGTAGAAAAAACCCTGCAGGGTCCAACGGGGTCTTAGGCCCCCCAAATCAGCCCCTCCCCAGCCCCAGGAACCCACTCGGCAGGCCCCAGAGCTGAGCCGTCCCCCCAAAGCCCCAGCCTCGCAAGAAAAAACCGGGGCAGCCTCGAAAATACTAAGGAAGGGAGCACGCTGGCAGACTCATAAAACACGGCTGGAAGAACAGGCTCGAATGTCCCCGTCGCTACCCTGAAATGGGAATTCCCTGAGATCGCCCGAGTTTCAAAACCAACGAAGCCCCACCCCGACCCACAGACTGTAAAGATCCGGATGCAGGTAGGAAGGGGGTCCCCAGACTAGACCACAACAGACGGAAAGACAATTGGATGTGGAAGGAACCGAAACAACCAAAACCCTCA